AAAGTCAAGGCTTAAAATATTGTCATTTTCGATAAAATTTACAAATGTGCTGTCTTCATTAGTGTTTTCCTTCAACTTACGTTGAGGCATTCGTGACAATTGATCAGCGCCATTTGAATGTCCATTGACGTATGTGATGTTATAGTTGAAACCTGAAAGATTGAAGGCCCATCGCTGCATACGAGCTGCTGTTATTATTGGTAAACCTTTTGTTTCACTAAAAATTGACGTTAACGGTTTATGGTCCGTTTTTATAACGAAATAATTACCAATTAAATATTGTTTTAACTTTGTTACGCAAAAGAAAATTGCTAACGCTTCTTTTTCAAGAGTACTATAATTTTGCTCAGCTTTAGATAAAGCTCTAGATATAAACGCTATGGGTTTACGTTCATTATTTGCAAATTCATGCGACAAAATTCCAGCTACAGCAGAATTTGAAGCATCCGTTGTAAGTACAATCGGTAGCTTTGGGTTAAAATGAAATAAAACTTTTTCTGACGTAACATCTTTCTTAATTTGATCGTAAGCAAGATGGCAATCTTTAGACCACTTGAAATTAACATCTTTCTTTAATAAGTTATAAAAGGGCATCATTTTGTTAGAAAATCCGTCTATAAATTTTGAATAGTAATTGACCATATCTAAAAAGGCTCTTAACTCTGAAATATTACTAGGTATAGGTGCATTTAAAACAGATTCTGTTCGTTCTTTGTTTTTACTTAAACCATACTTATCAATGGTAAATCCCAAATACGATATTTTGTTTTTAAAAATTCACATTTTTTTATGTTTAATTTTAATCCAGCAAAATTTAATTTAGAAAGAACTGCCTTCAAATTTTTGATGTGTTCTGACATGTTTTTACCCGAAACTGTGATATCATCTTGATATGCAACTACAAAAGGAATGTCTCTCAACAAAACTTCAATGGTTTTTTGAAAAATGGCTGCTGCCGGTTTAACACCAAAAGGTAATCGTTTCATTTTAAATGTGCCAATATGAGTTGACCATGTACATAGCATTTGAGATTTCTCGTTTAGAACGAGTTGATTATAAGCATTTGATAGATCAAGTTTGGTGAATAATTCACCTCCTTGAAGTGACGCAAATATTTCGTCTATTAATGGTAAAGAATAATGAAAGTCAGACAAATATTTGTTTATTGTGACTTTATAGTCACCGCAAATCCTAATATCCCCATTGGGCTTTAAAATTGGAACTAATGGAGTGCCCCAATCGGAATGTTCAACTTGTTCTATAACATTTTTAGCTATCAAATCTCTCAAGTTATTTTCAATTTTAGCTTTCCACGCAAACGGCACTTTACGTGGTTTAAAGAATATAGGTTTACAATCTTTTTCAACTTCAAGAGAAATTTTTCCCAATTTATACGTGCCAAGGTCATTTTAAAAAC